TCAAAGAGATCCATACACTTGAACACAAGTTATTGTCTGGAATCTAGAAAAATGCTTATTTTTGGCCCCTTTTTGCCCCTTATTCCTAAACGTTTTGGGCAATTACCCCCAAACTCAATTCCAGCTTTCCCTTTGTGATATGGAACCTTGTAGTACAATTTCAGAAAGATCCATACACTTACACACAAGTTATTGTCATGAAACTAGAAAAATGCTTGTTTTTTGCCCCTTTTTTGGCCCCTAATTCCTAATATTTTGAGGCAATTACCCCCCAAAATCAATCCCAGCATTCCCTGTGTGATATGGAACCTTGTGGTACAATGTCAGAGAGATCCATACACTAACACACAAGTTATGTCTGGAAGTTACAAAAATGCTCATTTTTGGCCCCCAATTCCTTAACTGTTGGTACCATAACCCCCAAAATCAATCCCAACCTTCCTTTTGTGGTATTGAACCTTATGGTAAAATTTCATAGAGATCCATTCACTTAAACTAAAGTTAGAGTGCGAAAACCAATGTGTCTTCGGATGACGCCAACGTCATACCAATATATACGACCGCAAAACATTTTGCGGTCGTATAAAAAGTGTGGAAAACACTGTTAACATTGGATATGATTAATAGTTCTCTAAAATTAGATATGATGTAATACAATGTATAACTATTTTCAAATTATAATCAAATATAATTAATAGTTCCAAATATTTTTTCTTTCATTTGTCACAAACTAATATAGATTTGTAACTTATCTATAAAGTGTCAACATTTTTTATCCACACAATGTAATGTAATGAAATATATACCTTAATGAAAATAGATTATTATCTAATTAAAGGATTTCACTGAATAATATTTATATATATATAGCATTCAGAAAATAAGTTAATACAAAATAACAAACAAACTGGCACAAATTTTTCAAACAATTTCTTTAAAAAAATTAGTTATCTCTCTCTGTATAGAAATATGGTTTAACATAGTACCCTAACATTAGATATGGATTTTTTTATGGACCATTACTCTGGACTAAATCATCAGAATGGAACAAAATTCGAACTTGATCTATAACTTGTCATGATAAAACCATATAACAAATACTAAATCAATATCTTTAAGAATGAAGAAAAAAAGTGAGGAAAGCTGATTTGCCCGACTGACAGACAGACCGACAGAGTGCAAACCTAAAGTCCCCTTCAACTTCGTCAGTAGGGGACTAATAAAAGGGGAATGTGTCCATGGGACACAGATGATGCCCCGCTGGCATATCATGTAAAGTTATAAAGGGACATAACGGAAGAACGGTAAAAGTGATGCTACCAAGATTTGTACTTGATCTGAGTTTTGTGGTAATAAGTATTGTGTATAAGTTTCATAACATTTGGTTGAGGCATCTGTAGTTGAATGGAAACAAAAATTCAGCAATTTTTCCATTTGTAAAGGGGAATAACTCTAGAACGGTTAACAGGGTTTGACACTAACAAAATGTATGTACTAGCCTGCAGGCCTGGTGATATCATTTTTCTACTAGTCCTCTTATTGACCAGCCACCGGCACGACCCTAAGTCGGAGGGTCTGACGACATACCCCCCCCAGAAAATTTAGATACAAATGAAGCAGAATCCTGTGTTCTGGAGCATATCCAAAGGGTTTTTTTCATGAAATTTCATAGGTTTGCTAATAAAAGATACGAAAATAATTTTTTTTCTATAATAAGAATGTGTTCGACTTATTTTGAAGACCCCTTTAGATCATTTCTTCATCATTCTCTCATTTTACTTATCATTATTTTCAATTATAATAAAATGCTCTGCAGGGCGCAGCTTGATACGACTGCAGAGGTCGAACCCTGAACAGTTGGGGCAAGTATGGACACAACATTTAAGCTTGGTACAGCTTTGCATTTGGATTGTGATTAAATATTTGACACAGCATAGGTTTCTGACACAGAATGAATGTGGTCTAAGAACTTAAAATTTTAAATTGGACATTCACCTATTATGGTCCAATATCCAAAATCTAAATACATCGTTAGATTCAGCATATCAAAGAACCCCAAGAATTCAATTTTTGATGAAATCAAACAAAGTTTAATTTTGGACCCTTTTGACCTCAATGTGGACAATGTTGATAACTGGGCCCAAAAATCAAAAATCTAAATACATGGTTAGATTCAGCATATCAAAGAACCCCATATATTCAATTTTTGTTGAAATCAAACAAAGTTTAATTTTGGACCCCAACTTGGACCAACTTGAAAACTGGGCCCATAATCAAAAATCTAAACACATGTTTAGATTCAGCATATCAAAGAACCCCAAAAATTCAATTTTTGTTAAAATCAAACTAAGTTTAATTTTGGACCCTTTGGACCTTAATGTAGACCAATTTAAAAAACGGGACCCAAAATTAAAAATCTAAATACACGGTTAGATTTGGCATATCAAAGAACCCCAATAATTAAATTTTTGATGAAATCAAACAGAGTTTAATTTTGGACCCTTTTGACCTCAATATGAACCAATTTGATAGCGGGTCCACAAATAAAAAATCTAAATACATGGTTAGATTCAGCATATCAAAGAACCCCAAGAATTCAATTTTTGATGAAATCAAACAAAGTTTAATTTTGGACCCTTTTGACCTCAATGTGGACAAAGTTGATAACGGGGCCCAAAAATCAAAAATCTAAATACATGGTTAGATTCAGCATATCAAAGAACCCCATATATTCAATTTTTGTTGAAATCAAACAAAGTTTAATTTTGGACCCCAATTTGGACCAACTTGAAAACTGGGCCAAAAATCTAAAATCTAAATACATGTTTAGATTCAGCATATCAAAAAACCCCATATATTCAATTTTTGATGAAATCAAACAAAGTTTAATTTTGGACCCTTTTGACCTCAATGTGGACAAAGTTGATAACGGGGCCCAAAAATCAAAATACATAATTAGATTCAGCATATCAAAGAACCCCATATATTCATTTTTTGTTGAAATCAAACAAAGTTTAATTTTGGACCCCGATTTGGACCAACTTGAAAACTGGGCCCATAATCAAAAATCTAAATACATGTTTAGATTCAGCATATCAAAGAACCCTAAAAATTCAATTTTTGTTAAAATCAAACTAAGTTTAATTTTGGACCCTTTTGACCTTAAATGTAGACCAATTTGAAAACGGAACCAAAAATTAAGAATCTAAATACACGGTTAGATTCGGCATATCAAAGAACCCCAATAATTCAATTTTTGATGAAATCAAACAAAGTTAAATTTTGGACCCTTTGGACCTCAATGTGGACCAATTTAAAAACGGGGCCCAAAATCCAAAAACTTAATACACGGTTAGATTCAGCATATTAAAGAACCCCAAGAATTCAAGAATAAAACCCCATTGAAATTGGTCAAGAAATAAGCAATTTATACGAAGTATCTTCTTTTGCACAATACTGTGCAATTGAATATTTCTTGCTATTGTGCAATACTGTACAATTGACAATTTCTTGCTATTGCGCAATATTGTGCTATTGGATATTTCTTGCTATTGCGCAATACTGTGCAATTGAAGATTTCTTGCTATTGCGCAATACTGTGCAATTGAAGATTTCTTGCAATTGTGCAATACTGTGCAATTGAAAATTTCTTGCTATTGCACAATACTTATTATATAATAATTTACAAATCCTGTTTGGTGTGTATCTCCTACCATATCATTATTATTTGCTTTTAAATATTAATCAGAAATAACCAACTTAAAATGGAAAATTTTAAAAGAAAACCCCCCCCCCCCCAAATTTTTTGAACCCCCTTATGATTCATCACCCCCAAACTCAATCCCAGCCTTCCCTTTGTGGTATGGTACCTTGCTCAATTCCTGCCCCCTCTGGCAGACAGGTCCGACGATTAGTTGCATCTCTGAAAGTCACAGTATTAAACTGTCTTGAAAGTCCAAACTTTGTAAAATTAGAAACAAAATTTGTTGAGATAAATAAAAGCAGCTTTATTAAAAGCTAATATCATTAATAAAAGTATTAATTAATATAAATAAAATGCTATGTATTTTATATAACTTGTAGTGTGTGCAAAAATACCGTAATAACCAAAATGCTGGAAACTGTTAAAATCAGCTGTTCAGTCTGAGCTCTTATTTTTAACTCAACTTTACTTTTCTACATTGGCTAGAGGTATAGGGGGAGGGTTGAGATCTCATAAACATGTTTAACCCCGCCGCATTTTAGCGCCTGTCCCAAGTCAGGAGCCTCTAGCCTTTGTTAGTCTTGTATTATTTTTAATTTTAGTTTCTTGTGTACAATTTGGAGTTTAGTATGGCGTTCATTATCACTGAACTAGTATATATATTTGTTTATGGGCCAGCTGAAGGACGCCTCCGGGTGCGGGAATTTCTCGCTGCATTGAAGACCTGTTGGTGGCCTTCTGCTGTTGTCTGTTCTATGGTCGGGTTGTTGTCTCTTTGACACATTCCCCATTTCCATTCTCAATTTTATACTCATCTCAAAACGTTTGTTAGACGACGTCACTCAATACACGCTAAAAATAGTACGTGTGTACACAAATGTGAAAGTAAACCAAATTATGTGGCCTTCTAGTTGACAGGTAGGACTTGGGATAATTCTAACTTTATAAAAGGATAAATATGAAATAAATAGGATGCATTAATAACGTCTGGATAAGGTAATTATGTTGCAACTATGAAAGATCATTCTGCATAACAAGCAAGTCTGCAAAAGTGAAAATAAGTATGACCCTCTTTCCCAGAAAATATACGCCGGGAAATACGAATGAAATGAATGCTAAAAATGTTACTGTAAATAATCGTGGCACAACAGCCAGAAAATTTCTTCAGGCTGAGAGATCTTATACAAAATATTCCAAAAGTAAAGAGTGCTGGCATGTGACAGCTTGTTTAATTATGCTGCACAAAAATTCTCTGCTGTACAAATATTTTGAAGATATTGACGTTGTTTTATCTTACCATTATCTGTTTCCCAGTTTAGGTTTCCAACAAAAAATTTGCTGAAAAGAAAAGACAATCTTAAAATTTTAATGTTTAAATATCTGCATAAATTCGAGAATTACAAGTCTCGCAGTTTACAATAAAATGCTCCGCTGGGGCGCAGCTTGATACAACCGCAGAGGTTGAACCCTGAACAGTTGGGGCAAGTATGGACACAACATTCAAGCTTGATACAGCACTGAATTTGGATTGTAATTAAATATTTGACACAGCATAGGTTTCTGACACAGAATGAATGTGGTCTAAGAACTTAAAATGTTTTAATTTACCTATTCAAACCATATCATTATTATTTGCTTTTATATATAAATCAGAAATAACCAATTAAAAATGGAAAATTTTAAAGAACCCCCCCCCAAAAAATTTTTTGAACCCCCTTATGATTCATCACCCTAAACTTAATCCCAGCCTTCCCTTTGTGGTATGGTACCTTGCAGTACAATTTCAGAGAGATCCGTACACTTGAACACAAGTTATTGTCTGGAAACTAGAAAGATGCTTATTTTTGGCCCCTTATTCCTAAACGATTTGGGCATTTACCCCCAAACTCAATTCCAACTTTCCCTTTGTGATATGGATCCTTGTAGTACAATTTCATAAAGATCCATACACTTACACACAAGTTATTGTCATTAAACTAGAAAAATGCTTGTTTTTTGTCCCTAATTCCTAAAATTTGGAGGCAATTACCCCCAAAATCAATCCTAGCATTCCCTTTGTGATATGGAACCTTGTGGTACAATGTCAGAGAAGTCCATACACTAACACACAAGTTATGTCTGGAAGTTACAATAAAATGCTCCGCTGGGGCGCAGCTTGATACGACCGCAGAGGTCGAACCCTGAACAGTTGGGGCAAGTATGGACACAACATTCAAGCTTGATACAGCACTGAATTTGGATTGTAATTAAATATTTGACACAGCATAGGTTTCTCACACAGAATGAAAGTAGTCTAAGAACTTAAAATTTTTTAATTTACCTATTCAAACCATATCATTATTATTTGCTTTTATATATAAATCAGAAATAACCAATTTAAAATGGAAAATTTTAAAGAAAAAAAATGAAAAAAAATCCCCCCCCCCAAATTTTTTGAAACCCCCTTATGATTCATCACCCCCAAACTCAATCCCAGCCTTCCCTTTGTGGTATGGTACCTTGCAGTACAATTTCAGAGAGATCCATACACTTGAACACAAATTATTGTCTGGAAACTAGAAAAATGCTTGGGTTTTTTGCACCTTTTTGGCCCCAAATTCCTAAAAGTTTAGGGCAATTACCCCCAAACTCAAACCAAGCTTTCCCTTTGTGATATGGAACCTTGCAGTACAATGTCATAAAGATCCATACACTTACACACAAGTTATTGTCCTGAAACTAGAAAAATGCTTGTTTTTTTGCCCCTTTATGGCCCCTAATTCCTAACATTTTGAGACAATTACCCCCAAAAACAATCCCAGCCTTCCCTTTGTGGTATGGTACCTTGCAGTACAATTTCAGAGAGATCCATACACTTGAACACAAGTTATTGTCTGGAAACTAGAAAAATGCTTATTTTTGGCCCCTTATTCCTAAACGTTTTGGGCAAGTACCCCCAAACTCAATTCCAGCTTTCCCTTTGTGATATGGAACCTTGTAGTACAATTTCATAAAGATCCATACACTTACACACAAGTTATTGTCATGAAACTAGAAAAATGCTTGTTTTTTGCCCCCTAATTCCTAAAATTTGGAGGCAATTACCCCCAAAATCAATCCCAGCATTCAAACCCTCAATCAGCATCATTTAACAGTAATATCTAAAAATGGAAATTACATAATAAAGGTATTAAAATAGAAAATGACATCATAGTCATGGCTAAACATAGCAAAAACCTTAATCAGCATCATTTAACAGTAATATCTAAAAATAAAAATTTCTTTGCAACCATAAAAGTAAAATAGAAAATGACATCATAATCATAGCTAAAAATAAACAAAAATTTTTTTTATTACCAAATTTTAAATGGAGTTTATTAAACTAAAACAATAAATTTGCAACCATAAAACCCCATTTAAACGCATCATAAAAGTATTAAATAATTCAACTACATCATAAGGCTATAAAAATAGAAAATGACTTCATAGTCAAGGCTAAAGGTAAACAAAAAACCTTCATCAGCAAAATTTTATATTGGCAAATTTCCAATGAAGTTTATTATACTAAAATTGTTGGCAAATTTCCAATGAAGTTTATTATACTAAAATTGTTGGCAAATTTCCAATGCATTTATTAACAATAAAGTTATTGGCAAATTTCCAATTTACATAATTTAAAAGCAGTGTAAGTGAGATATTTAAATGAGTTTGAATTACCAACCTTACACTGCTTTTAAATAATGTTTTGTACTTATTTGTCTATTAACCTGGAAACCCTTGTTTTTTCACCTTTTTTTCCCTTATTATTTAAAGGTTTGAGCCATAACCCTACCCCAAAGCCAATTCTTAAATTCCAATGTAACCTAAATTTACAATTTACATAACTTCAATTTAAGTTTTTGATAAAATCAAACCACATCATTATTATTTGCTTTTATATCTAAATCAGAAATAATTAACCAACTTTAAGTGGAAAATTTTCACACATCACGCCCCCCCAAACTCAATCCCAGCCTTCAGTTTGTGGTATGGTACCTTGCAGTACAATTTCACAGAGATCCAATTACTTAAACACAATTAATTGTTGGAAACTAAAAAAAATGCTTATTTTTAACCCCTTTTTTAGCCCCTTATTCCTAAACATTTGAGCAATTATCCCCCAAACTCAATTCCAACTTTCTCTTTGTGATCAGAATTAACCAACTTAAAATGGAAAATTTTAAAGAAAAAAAAAAGGAAAAAAAATCCCCCCCCCCCAAATTTTTTGACCCACTTCCCTTTGTGGTATGGTACCTTTAAGTACAATTTCAGAGAAATCCATACACTTGAACACAAGTTAATGTCTGGAAACTAAAAAAATGCTTATTTTTGCCCCCTTTTTTGGCCACTTATTAATAAATGTTTTGGGCAAACATTTTACAATAATATTTAAAACTGAAATTAATTTGTAACCTTAAAATTAAATAGAAAATGACATCATAGTCATAGCTAAAAATAAACAAACTATTGGTAAATTTCCAATGGAGTTTATTATATTAAAACAATAAATTTGCAACCATAAAAGCGCATTAAAATACATCATAAAAGTATTAAAAAAAATTTAACTACATCATAAGGCTATTAAAATAGAAAATGACATCATAGTCAGACTAAAGGTAAACAAAAAACCTTCATCAGCAAAATTTTATATTGGCAAATTTCCAATGAAGTTTATTATACTAAAATAATTGGCAAATTTCCAATTTACATAATTCAAACATAGTGCAGGTGAGATATTTAAATGAGTTTGAATTACCAACCTTACACTGCTTTTAAATAATGTTCTTTACTCAATTATTTGTCTATTAAAATGGAAACCCTAGTTTTTTAACCTTTTTTCCCCTTATTCCTTAAACGAAAAAAAATAATTACCCCTTTTTTGACCCCCCCCTATGATTCATCACCCCCCCCCTTCCCCCCCAAACCAAGCTCAATAACAGCCTTGCCTTTGTGGTATGGTACCTTGTAATACAATTTTAGAGAGATCCATACACTTGAACACAAGTTATTGTCTAGAAACTAAAAAATGCTTATTTTTCACCCCTTTTTAGGCCCCTTCTTACTAAACGTTTTGGGCAATTACCACAAAACTCAATTCCAGCTTTCCCTTTGCGAAATGGAACCTTGTAGTAAAATTTCAGAAAGATCCATACACTTACACACAAGTTATTGTCATGAAACTAGAAAAATGCTTGTTTTTTGCCCCCTTTTGGCCCCTTATTCCTAAAATTTCGAGGAAATTAACCCCAAAATCAATCCCATCATCGACCCTTTGTGATATGGAATCTTGTAGTACAATGTCAAAGAGATCCATACAATAACACACAAGTTATGTCTGGAAGTTACAAAAATGCTTATTTTCGGCCCCTTTTTGGCCCCTAATTATTTAACTGTTGGTACCATAACCCCCAAAATCAATCCCCACCTTCCTATTGTGGTATTGAACCTTATGGTTAAATTTCATAAAGATCCATTCACTTAAACTAAAGTTAGAGTGCGAAAACCATTGTGTATTCGGACGACGACGACGCCGGACGACGACGACGACGACGCCAACGTCATACCAATATACGACCACAAAATTTTTTTGCGGTCGTATAAAAATGCTTATTTTAGGCCCTTAATTCCTTAACTGTTGGTACCATAACCCCCAAAATCAATCCCCACCTTCCTTTTGTGGTATTGAACCTTATGGTAAAATTTCAAAGAGATCCATTCACTTAAACTAAAGTTAGAGTGCGAAAACCAATGTGTCTTCGGACGACGACGCCAACATCATACAAATATACGACCGCAAAATTTTTTTGCGGTCGTATAAAAAGACTAGGTTACATTTGAGAATTAGGTCATTGAAGCTTTCCCCCTTAAAGTTAAAATGGCGTAGGAAGATTATAAGTTGCGACATCTTTTCAGCTCAAATTCTCGACGGCCCCGTTTTATATATTAAACAATATCTAATATACAAAATATAAAAGTTGAGTTTTATATAATTATCTAATTGTTAATTCACAAAATATCAATTATGGGCATGAAACGAGCACGTGGTTTAATCTTTTAATTTCCTGTTCTACGCTGGACGAATTGCTTGATGAATTAGTTGTGTTTTTGCTAAAAAAAAGTTGGAACAACTCCTTTTATCGTATTTTTAAAAAAAAACTGTATAATGTTTAGCTTTTCTTACCCAGGGTCATCTCTTCCACGGTCTGCCATTGTGAATAAAATGTCTCCTTGTCTGTCTTGCAAAATGGCGCTTCTTTTCCTTCTGCAAGTGCGTGTTAAAAGAAAGATCGGAGAACTTCGGTAAATCCCGTTGGTTTTATTTCGGAAAAAAAGGAAAGATTCGCCCCTGAATAAAGTCACGACCCAAACATGCCAAAATCAAATATTTTTTGTCAAAGATTAACTCTGACGTGGAGCGCGGAACAATTATGCTTTGCATGATATTGTTGTACTTAGTCTGCATCGCTTCTGTTAGTCTTGTGGTTGAGCGTGAAGACTGGTACTGAATTAGACCGTTCTTTATTATCTAAAGCAAATATGTAGCGTATTAAATTTAGCTATAAAATTAGACTGACTCCGTGTAGTTTCTTGTCACATATAGTACTGAATGTGTGTATTTGAGCCACATTCGCGTAATCATCTTTACACTGTAATGTTTCAGTTATTATTTTTGTCATTCTTTTCAATATTATAGCTAGACTCGTATTGCGTATTTTGAAATATTGCATGCTCATATTAATAACAAATTATTGTTTATATATACTAGTCAACAAAAGTAACGATATTTATTTTGTATTTACATTGTGTCATAGGTCAAATTTATTTGTTCAGTGTATGTTCAATGGTTTTAATATGTCCTTTGATTGAGTTAAGCTATTTCAGTTGATATTTTATAGTGTGTCTTTCTATGCTGTGATGTTACACTATTAATGTTTCAGAAAAAGGTTGAAGGTTTGGTACCATTTAAACGTTTAAACCCGCTGCATTTGTTTGCACCTGTCCTAAGTCAGGAATCTGATGTTCAGTAGTTGTCGTTTGTTGATGTGGTTCATAAGTGTTTCTCGTTTCTCGTTTTTTATATAGACTAGACCGTTGGTTTTCCCGTTTGAATAGTTTTACACTAGTAATATTTTGGGGCCCTTTATAGCTTACTGTTCGGTGTAAGCCAAGGCTCCGTGTTGAAGACCGTACTGTGACCTATAATGGTTTACTTTTATTAATTTTGACTTGGATGGAGAGTTGTCTCATTGGCACTCATACCACATCTTCTTATATCTATACACAAGTTTGAACTCCAATTTATCATAAAATATGATAAACAGGAAAAACTGTTAAATTATCTATTGAAAAACATTCATTTGCAAAGCAAATGCATATGATTAAAAGAATCAGACCAAATTGGAAAGTGAGAAAATACCGTGTTATTGAACACAGGGGTCAAATTTATTTTGCGGAAAATGATGACAAAAGTCGGCACTTAATTTCGATGATGAGAATTAAGTATTCAAATATCTGCAAAGGCATTCAAAATTTTAAAGCAGACCATGTTTCAGTTTTAAGTTTTTAGTTTTAAGTTCTGATATCGATATTTGAATTTTTATGTGAAAATACGATTTTTGAAATAACAAAAATAGCAAAAAAAAAATAAATTTGCGTATTTGCCTTAAATCAATGGTTTTGATAAGAAAATAACACTCTGTAAATATTAGACCAATTGGGCAATTATCTACCTTGGAACAGAGTATCCAATTTTATTATATATGGAAAATACATTGCCTTGTATCGTTTCTTTTGTTCACTAGTATATATTGATTTGTAATTCCTAGCGGACTTCATAAGTATATGGTTAACTTGTGTCCACTCCAATTTACTTGAGTAAATAAAATATGTTTTTTAACTAAACTAAATGAGTTGCATTTTCGAGGCAGCTAGGATATTATTTATGAAAATAGATTTGATTTGAATCAAATTTCGTGAAAAATCTCCATCTTATAGCTTGGTGTATTAGATTAGGAAATGCACATTAATTTGTTTTACGCATTTCATCTGTGATAGTGATGAATTTGTGAAAATTGTGACTGCATAAAATTGAGAATGGAAATGGGGAATGTGTCAAAGAGATGTGAAAAGATTATAATTCTTAATTCGAACATTTTTAGACTTTCACCATAAATTGTCATTATTATTTCATGGTTTTTTTTTCAGTTGTATTTCTTCTTCTTTTTTTTTATTTTCTTGTGTATTGTCTATTGCAATTGTGTGATATAAAAAAATAAATGTACTGACTATGCCTATAATGGGTCCTCTATTGGAAATACAATTTATCTTATCTTATCTTATCTATATTGTTAAACTGATAATTGGACATCGCTTCTTTTTAAGTATATGTAAGAGAATGACAATCCCTTTCTTCATGATTAAGTACGAGTGTTATATTACATGCAAACTTAGAATATTGTTAACTGCCAAAGGCTCAAATGATCTCTTGGTCGGTTATATTCAAGAATTCGTTGCAGTGCAATGTTTATATAATTAATGCATGACTTCCTTTTAAGACATTTCATTTATGGAGTAGTTTTAGCGATTTTTAGAATGTATTTTAGAATTAATTTTAGAAATTATAATAAATTGTTTTAGGCATAACATGACACAACAGTACAATGAAATGATAGAAATTGTACAAGTTTCCTGGTTGTGAGTATGAATGTAAATCATGTATATTTTAGTGAGGAACTATCGTTTTGTTTATTTACAGTTCATATTAAAAAATTCAAAATTAAAGTTACAACTAAATTTTATTTTACAGCCAATATTGTATTCCAGCCATTTACATCTAATACTTCTTCATTATGAGAAGTAATGAACTAAAACAAAATGTTCAAATAAAATGCCTTTTTATATATCCAAAAGTTAAATTAAATTCCTGCATTTTTCTTGATTTTATCGGAATATTGGAAATTACTGTTCTTACCAACAGCGGATCGAGTAATCTGATTCAGAGTTTTGGTAAGCGGAATAGCTAAATATGTAGGATAAATTTAAACTTTTTTTCTTGCATTGCTTTGATGTAATGTTAAATTATTTTGTAACTTTGAAGTTATTGATATTTTAATTACATAAATGGAACCAATTTTACTGTACGAGTAAACTTCAACTTATTTTTATTTTGTTGTTTGCTTTAAAATTCAACTTTAGTCAGTTTCAATCACAAATCCTTTCAATCTGATAAATGTGCTCCGGTGCATTTGTAACCCATTTATAGAAACTCTTTGTTTTGAACTGTAAATAGGCCTAAACAATAGGATAAGCCCTTACTAAGAACATGATTTTCATTCATTCTTCCCAATTAAGAAACACTATAAATCCTATTTTTTGCTATATTTTAACATATGTGAAATAGATAAATTCAATTATTTATTGACAAATTGGGTACTCAAATTGATATCTCAACATATTAACATATGCAACGATTTTTGTTTATAAAGGTTTTTTTATCTTATAAGTATTAACAATTAAGTGCCAGCATATTTTCACAAAGACGGAAATTCGTTTAAGATAATACTTTTGATAAATAATAGATATAGTCACAACTTTACATAGTTATTAAGTTTTTCTTACGTAAAGAATAATTAATCCTTAGTCATTTCAATTAGGGCTTAGTCAGCCTAAAACCAAAGGACAAATATGTGTTATCTTCTTTTGTTAATCCTTTAAGTGATACTTGTTTATTTAATTGTCAATCGACAACCTCGTTTCTATTATGAAATTGCAACTCAGCAATTTTTATACGACTCGTAAAAAATTTTCGTTCGTAAATTGCTATAATCATGTCGTCTTCGTCGTCGTCCAAAGAAATTTGGTTTCCGAACAATAACTTTAGTATAAGTAAATGGATCTCTATGAAATTTAACCACAAGGGTCAATAGCACAAAAGGAAGGTTGGGATTGATTTTGGGGGTTATGGTCCAAACTGTTTAGGAATTAGGGGTCAACAACGGGCCCAAAAAGGCATTTTTCTAGTTTCCGGACAATAACTTGAAATCATGTTTTGTTTTATATGCTGAATCTAACCATGGAATTAGATTTTGGATATTGGACCATTAAGTAGATTATAAATGTCCCATTTCAAATTTTTAAGTTATCTGACCACATTTATTCTGTGTCAGAAATCAATAATGTGTCAAATATTTAATCACTATCCAAATTCAGAGCTGTATCAAGCTTTAATATTGTGTCCATACTTGGCCCAACTGTTCAGGGTTCGACCTCTGCGGTCGTATCCAGCTGCTGCAGGCGGAGCGCATTTTTTGTTAATTTAAATATGTTTTCTGAAGTTCTTACTTCAGTGAGAGTCACAGTCGTACGGACAACATACATGCACTTGTCTCTGAACCCCCTATATTCCTTAATATAACACGTGTATCATGTATTATATGTCTCTGGTTATATTTAGGTATATAGAATTTTTTTTCAGGGACAAATGCCTGTGGGACACCATGCTACCAATTTGTAAAAATACTTGCTATTCAATTCTGAAATCATTAAATTATTAACAATTGCATAGAAATTGTGTCTAATTCTACCAGTGGAGTTGTAGCGAGTGTTCTCAGGCAACTGACTATTGGTCCAAGTCATTGTCTATCGTTGGCACCGCCAATCTCTGCAACCGGTCTGTTGCATCTCGTCAAGTTATCATCGTCATTCCAATAGCCAATCTCCCAGTTACATTCAACACAAATTTAGTAGGGATTACTTAAAATTACACAATTTTTTGGTACTAGTATATTAATTTCAACAATGGTTTTTGGGTGATTATAACATATATAAGTTAATGATCAATAATAGCAGAGACATATATTTGTATATGTGTCTCTGATAATCTATCTTAAATTAAGGTAAAAATTATAAGGCCTTCCAAACACCGTTTTGATTCCTAACATCACTGAAGACACATTAATTGTTGAAATCCGGATATGGTGTACTAATTTTTGCACCTTTTGTTTGCGGTATATCATCTTTTCCGCAAGTTTATCGTTTTCTGTTAGGTATTAAATTAATAGTTAAGATCCATTTTGTTACATCTGGTGATCCGTTTATTTGACAATCGCCAATGGCAGTCAGCAGGGTTTTAAGGACATCCGTTGTTCGACCTGCTAGTCAAATGCGTTTTGTTAAAATATACCTTTTCACTTTTTTGGTCTTTAGGAAAATGTTGTTTGTGCTGAATTTGGACCCCTCCACCGAGAAATTTGTTTTGCATGCACACGTATAAAAATTGCGGTTTTTATCCAACGCAATCATAGGTTTGAAC